GTTGTCGTTCTCTTATCGTCCGTTGTGGAATAACTTAATTCCCACGCGGATGTTGGTTCTTGGGAAATTGGCTCGCATCGGTTTTTGCATTTTGATGCTCCGTCGCTGTGGTCATGTTGGTTCACGCGCGCAAAGATACCCTCCCCCATCTGTGCATGTACAAATTTGTCGAAGAGACACTGTATTTTTTTTTTTTTTTTTTTTTTTTTTTGTCCTCCGGCAGTATCGTTCGATTACATGCACTTCCTCGCGCGCAGGAAAAAATTGAGCGCGTGTACAAAGTACATCCCAGCAGGTTTACGTACACCGAGAACGTAATAATATGCACCGGGTGTAAAGTTAATTTCTAAGGGTGTTGTTGCACCGAGAATTACTCGTGAAATTATTTCAATGAGTACGTGTAGGCGATATTATAAATCAAAGCACTTGACGTTTAAAGGGAAAGCGTGTGTGGTGATGGTAGCTACAACAACAATCCGCACACTCTAGTTGCTGAATTTGAAGTAAAACGAGCACATCTGGGGGTGTAATGGATTACTTTCAGTATCGAAATTGGTTTTGCATTTGATTACAATATACTCGTGTCAAAAATTACACATACCAAGGAAATCGTTTGTTCTGCATACTGCCTACTACTTATGATTATTTTGCAATTTACATAATTATTGCTTTTGTTCTTGTACATATATATATACAAGCCTTTGGCGTACATAAAGAAATAAGACCATGAAATAGCAACAATCAATCAATAATATAAAGAGGAAGATTATGTATATCCAAGCACGCCCGTTTATTCCAAACAGTAGCGGTAATTTGTAAGTAAGAAAATGGTTCGAAGGTACGTGGAATGAGAATGAGACCTTTGCAAACTAGATTGCGTATTTTCTCTCCAAAATTCACCCGCAGGCCTGAAACTCCCCCGGCTTAGCTATGCATAGTAAGCTGAATCCAAATAGTTAATTTTCCATCATAGAACAGTAGAAAAAAAAAAAAAAAAATATTACAATCACGTATACATACCCGAGCAATGATAAATCCCTGACCTGCCTTGACATGCTGTTCCCCGAGCATTTGATAATCCAAGCATGTCCGCAAACGCTAATGCAGTTACAAAAGGAAAGAGCTCGGCTGATGCTCCTTTCTCCGTCCACCGCCTCTGTGTAACCCCACAGTAGATTGTTCGATTAGAATATCAATCTCGTTTGTGTATATATGATGTATATATACATACATGGATGACGAGCTGTAGGAGAGTCAGATGAGAGGAGGAATGGAATTCACTGCTGTATTAATCCATTTTTCCGCTTCTTTGATCACATGTATAAATATATTTATTTGTCATGTATAGACATTAGAAACTACATCACGTAGGCAAATGAGTATACCGTTGTTAGGAGGACTACGTTTTTTCAAGCATCATCCATGTGTACCAAATATATATGTGAGCTATGCATGCGATTTGTGTGTGATTGTTATAAATAATGTATATAAATAAACGCTTGACCTGCATAATATACGTTGTAGCTTTGAACACTGTTGAGATTAATCACTATATCAATCTACGTGTAGTTTAAATAAGCTTTATTTTTTTTTTTTTTTTTTTTTTTACAATATTTTTTCATTGGCAATGAAAAGTAGTACTTGCCGTCAAGGTCAGTCAAAGCGTGTGCTTTAACGTTTACATCATGAGGGAGAAAGGCAAAAAAGCTGCTTCTACCCTCTATTGTTACTGTCATCGATCATTCGGCGAACTCGATCGACCCTCCTGCAACATATATACCTACACATGTACATGAAGTTCGTACAAATAATGCACACGTAAAATATATTCATACCACGTTTGAAACTGTTTTTATTGCTCTTCACCCGATCGTTCCGTATATCTATCGAATCGAGGCCGCCCAAGTCGATGGTCGCACGAATATTGTTTGTTCTGTCGTTTACCTCGTCCTCTCCGCGGTACAAAGTACTATTGGAGGGTATGATGTACGCGATTGAACAAGCGTTTTCGGTGATTCACGTCGAGCTGCTGTACGTATTACAAAACGTGAGATAAGAAAAAAAAATACACACACCACCTTGGTTCACTGGAACAGAAAAATAAAAGGGGGAGGAAACTCCAAGTAAGGCGTCGTGATGAAAAAAAGCTCGGATTTTCTCATTTTCGCCCAACTCTGGGAAGCTTATCCTTAAAGAGAAAGAGGAAAAAAAACGGAGCAACAAAAGTAAAGCCCATCGAGGTGACCCCTCGTGAGACAACGACTATGAAAGCACCGCAAAAACTACACACGCTACGTACCAAGGCTCGTAAAAACCGGCCACGCGAGAGATACACGAAAGAGGAATCTCCGGTTGGTTTAGCGCCGAGTCCCGATTGCACGTACCTCTATTATATATATATTTTTTTTTCTCCCCCAACTCGGATACACCTGCAATTTTGACGAATCCCCCCCTTCGATTGTATCGAATACACCCTTACCGCAACCATTTGCGTCTCCATTGGCATACACGAGCACACAAGTTCCGTAACTAGTTGATATACAACAATACGCGATATAGAGGGTTGACTCGCTGTGGTTGTTGCACAGCTGATGTGTAAGCTCTTCTTATTTGGAACTTTGTAATTGGAGGCAATCTGGCCCGCGAGAGCTCGAGGATTTGCCGGTGAACTTTCGGGATCCAAGGGGGAAGGATAACAGCTCGCGAGCTGAGAAAAAAAGCCCTTCCAGTATCGCGGTGTATTTTTTAGTTCCGTGGGCGAGATTTTCAGGGTGGCGACGGTGAAAGTTTCTCGCGAGCCGAGCTTATGACGCCGGTTTTTTCTGAGGCTTCGCTATTGCCCGCAATTACCTGATGATGCGCTCGGGGAGAAGCATCGGCGGTGGAGAGAAGGAAAACGAGAAAGGAAAAGAGAAACGAAGAAGACGCGCGCTCGTCTCGTCGCATTAGGGGGTATTAGTGTCACGGGCTCGGTCGCGATACGCGTATACGAAGAGAGATCGCGTTGCGAGAGAGCTTTGGGTGATTTTTGCCCAAGGTTTGCCGACGCGGTGGTTTGGGCTTTTTTATCTTCGCAACCGAAGATGAAGTGCATTTTCAAGCTTTCGTGGGGATACGTGATCTTTCATCGCCGCGTTGGAAGAAAATTATGTGCATCCCGAGTAGGAAAGAAAATACCATGTGGGTACATTTTTTTTTTTTTTTTTTTTTTTTTTCTTAAGTAGAGGCCAGGGAGTACGAAAGAAGAAACAAAAAAATCTCGCCTAACTTATTGGTTACAAAAAATTTTTCACCTAGGAATGGATAATTTGGAATTATACTTAGCATCATTGTTTAATGGACTTTAAAAGCTCCAACTTATGTGCAGGGGTAAGACTTGGTAGGTAAAAACCGAGTCTCGAATCTCCTTCGACAATACTAGGTGCTTGTTTTCTCTCTGCCAACCGTCCCATTCTATAATATAATATGTTAAGTTGTGAAGAAAAGTCTGTGTTAAGATGCAATTGATATCGTTGCTGGTAAAAAATATAAATTTCTTGATCAATTTTTTTTGTTTTTCTTTCAAGTAAGGACAAAACCGTAAAACTTCTTTCCCGTGAAATCATATACTACAGTACGTAGAAATAAAGTTCTCGAGCGCACCTGCGCGATCCATGTACGGGGCAGACCAATTAATCATCGATCATCACACGAGAGAAACAAGGACGCACGTAACTTTACAATCAATTACTCGGAACTTCCAATCTGAAACTTGTTTTCCACACTCGCGAGCGCAAACGCAACCAAGAGGGATGAAATACTTTTTTTTCGAGTTTCATTTGAAAAAAAAAAAAAAAAAATCATCCCACGATCTCGAGTTTACGATTTAATGACTGTCGCATACCCCGTAGGCGATTCGTTAGTACAAGGGAGGAACTCGCTCACACGCCCGTGGGGGTAAAAACGTATTCACGAAATCTCCTCGCTCGGGGATGATGGAGCGACCCGATAAATTCGCCCCCCCCCCCTACTTTTTGACAAATCGCTCGCTTTGCATAAGTCGCTGTTAGCGCGGGAACCGGTGTTTCAATGAGGGATATTTATACATCCGCACGCTTAATGCCCCCCGGGAGATGCGCGTGTGTTTTTTTGCATCTTTGTATATTTAGGCCAAGGGACTTTTTCCATACCACGGTCGCCTCGTTTGATAAAGTATATCGTTGACTCGGTAAGGTCTTACCGATTTTTCTTCGCGATCAATTATCTTAATCGCGGATTTCTCAACCACAGCATTCTTCGAGGGGTCTTTGGGGGAACATTAGTTACACGCGCTATTAGCTCCGATTGTTAATTCCAGCGAGGAAGATTTAGGTAATTGCCGACGGAAATAAAGGAGCGCAGGTGATGCTTTTGTGTAACCGATGCGATGATTCTCGAGCTAATAAAAGTGGACGCCGAAAGGTAAATTTTTTATTGCAAGCCATTTGTTTGTCATTATCCTGGCTCTTCCGTCGATTTTGTTGAAAACAATCCTCGAAGAGAGGGAAAAAAAGCCACGAAAAGAATTACTTGCACTGATCTGGAAAATTTTCCAATCACCCCTGCGTGTGACTGTTGGGCAGAAAAAAATATTGTTTCCCCGGATGTCTCGTTGAGGAACGTACTCTCCAACAGTATTTACCCCTCGCTCGATCGAACCGCGACCAAAGTTATACGTAATTGATAAAGTTCACCTCCTTTCTCTCCCAACTGATCGGCTGACCACAGCACACCGCGCAAATCTCACGTTAGATATACGTACAGCACCGACGTGCAATGTTGCTTGTACAGATATATAGTGCAGCGAGGATCCCCCACACGCTTTGAAAAACCAAAAAGTCCCAGTTGAAAAGTTGTCATTACACGCATACATCGACACACACACACGAGTAGCATATTATATATATAAAAAAAAAAAAAAAAAAAAGAAAGAAAGAAAAGAAAAGAGTATTGATGGGAGCGGGTTACGACAACGCCCTTAGCTGCGGAAGCCGGCGTCGACGCTGTCGATACCGGGGGCGATGAAGAGCAGCGGTGGGATCGGGGCCCACTACGCCTGCGGCTCGATACTGGGTGGCCAAGGCGAGGAGGCCGCTGTAGTACTAGTCGGCGGTGACTACCCGCGTGGCGGCGGCTGCGCAGGCGGTGACGAGCGTGCTTTATCCGTGAGCGGGCTCACCGGTGCTGGGAGTGTTATTGGCGGCGCCGGGGGTACGGCCGGCCTGGGACCCGGTCAATTGCAAGGGCCCAAGAACAGCATCGGCGCCGCCTCGAAGCACAAGCCCAACGTCGGTTACCGGCTCGGTCGGCGGAAGGCACTGTTCGAGAAGCGCAAGCGCATCAGCGACTACGCACTCGTCATGGGCATGTTCGGCATCATCGTCATGGTCATTGAGAACGAGCTATCCAGCGCCGGCATCTACACCAAGGTATGTGTGCCTTTTTTAACCATTTTTTACACCGCTGATTCTAAAAATTCTATTATTTTTTTCCGTATATAAAACAATGAAAGTTACATCCTTGGCTTCTCTCTTACAACTCTCGCGCTCCTTCGCCCCCAAACTGTTTATAGGTGATACGCGCAAGCACGTACAAGCCCACTGGTAATTAAAGCTACTTAGCAATTAACTATTGGCTCGTTTGATCGTAAACAAAGAGAACCGGAATGTGCATAGAATGGAAAATCGGCTCGTTTCGATAACAGCGTAGGTATAATGTCCGGTTCGTCTGACCGTACCCTGGTCGTACTACTTGCCGCGGTTAAGAGAGCCCCTCGTTGATTTCGGAAGCCGAGTCGAGTGAATGTGATGGCTCCTTCGAATCCCTCGCTCATTTTTTCTTGTTTCTCCCGGTAATACCTGCACTTATACTCCCTCTAAGGGTTAAATTTAATCCAATCGGGCCAAGGGTGATATCCTTCGATCCGTTAAGGGAGAAAAAAAAAGAAATGACAAGTTTACTCGTGAATCGGAATGAGGAGAAAAAGATGTCATGCCATAAATAAAGGTAGCGCCAGATGGGGGGAAGGATAAAGAGGACTGAAAAAGATCGGTTTTATTTACAAGCAAAAAGAAAGAGATGTACACGGTATATACACGATTCCAATAATAGTTTTGTAATTTTTCTCCGTTACTCGTTTTCTTGTGTTTTTTTTCAAGACAAACACACAACCATAAGCTCAGTATATCGAAGACGTTGGCTGTAAATACTACAACAGCCGAAATAAGCCCGCAGTTGGGACGCGTTGGAGCGAGCAAAAGTTTTTGATACACCCTCCCGGTCAAGCGTCCCCGGCATCCGTAACTTTCTCGATGTACACGGAGCCGGGCGAAATTATTCAGTCGCTGAAAAGAGTCGCGCATAATAAAGTTCCGCGGGAGAGTGAATGTAAGGTGGGCACGGGGAGGGAGTCAATGGACCGGCTGCCGTCAAAAGCTCAACTTTTTTAATAAATACAGGGACACTCCGAGGGTGTGTCGAAGTAAGTTCAAGCTGCGGCTCGTTATCGGGCGGCGGTCAAGTTTTTCTTTTTACGTATAGGTATGTATCTACGAGGTCCTCTTTGGCTTCTCGAAATAATTTCGACTCGCAATGACTTTGTGAAGAACCAATCGGAGGGCCATTTACGGGATGGATGGCATATATATATATTTGGGATTACGTAAGGGGTGGGACATTATTCATTCCGGGCCAACTTTTTTTTCGAGCGTGAATATTCAGTGCGCGTGACCTCGAATTAAAAGTGCATTTGTCGCTTGATTATGCGACTCTTACAGCGGGGTATTCTTCGGTGGGAGCACGGTAATGCTTTTAGTCATTGGATTTTTTTCGAAAAATCAGCTCCACGCGCACGGTAGGTAAGTTAATTATTTACCGAGAGCTTTCGATTGAAACGGTTTTCAGAGTCACTTGAATTTCAACTTTATAATTCACAAGGGAGGTGTACTAGACTTAAATTTTCATATCCCTTTGATGCACGGGTGATGTACTTCATGATTATACTTTTTTGGTCTTAATTTTCTTTTTTTCACCTCTACCCAAAGTAAGGGTTATTCGTGTTAAATGAGTACATGCGTACAGTAGTCACGTGAAATTAATTGTTCTACTTGATCGACAATTATTTGTACAATAAATAATTTTAAAAAATATTAACTTAATTATTTTTACATTGATGTTACAAAAATTTTCTTCGTCAAATATTGATTACAATATTTTCACAGAGTTTTGCACCCTGATATGTCATTTCCGATGGGATGATTATTCATTA